TATAGTGTTTCTTTCTCCCTTTCAATCATTGAACTTAGCCAAGAAGGGATACAGAAATCTTAAGATCGTACAGTGAATCGGAAGAGAGGAGACTGTCTTGGTGTGAGAATGAGATATGCACTAGATTATAGCTTGATAAGGGAGCTCAATATGCCAACACAATAGAATATAAGCTTAATGTCATGTAAATTTGCAGGAAATAAGGGGAGTGTTCAAGATGAATGTGATGCTCAATTATCCAACGTATAGGAATATTTTTCCTCTTTGGGCACTCACACATTACACCAAGGCTCTACAACGTTTGTCCGCTTGAACACTTCAAAACATTTCAATCTTATCATCTTCATAACCTTTATTATATATGCCCATTAATGTTTTCTTTTTCTTCCTTGTGCATGCAAAAATAACAAAGAGGCATTGTATTATCAACATTGAAAATCGAATGATAATAATAAAAATTCTATGGTTATTGACTGAAACCCATTAAAGTTTTTTAGTAAACCATCAATATAATGAAGATTTTTCAATCATATTTTACACACTGTTTTAATCAACAGTTTTTTCTGCATCACTATTTTAACTAGAGGAATTAGTTGCCTAATTGAGCTTCTTTGATTATAATTGGTCAATCAGAAATTTTTGACGTAATTCGTTTTCCCTTTTTTCTTATGAGCCCGAAAAATATAAGTATCATTGACTGTTGAATTGACTGTTTGATTGCGATTATCTATTCTATGGCTAAGTGGGACGGAACGACGATGCTCTCATTAAGCAATTTTGTTACTTATCACTCCTTTGTGATGCAGGGAATGAGATTATCCGTGAAGGTAATCAGTATGCTTGAGCATGGGTAACTAAGGCTAGAAAGGAAAGGATGGTGGAGTAGATCGGGTAGATATGTTGATTTCAATGTAATAACTTATTAACAAAATGATCATTGTAACTGAACTTCACGATTTAATCTAGATTGATGTTTATGCTTGAAAATTTGTCTAAAATCGACTAAAACGCTAAAAAATGTTAAGTGTGTAAAAACTCAAAATTTGGCTAAGTCTAGCCGAGGGAGCTGATCCGGAACCTTACCGCCGGTAAAGATATTCGAGTTGGGGTGTTTCAATTTGGTATCA